AGGGGTCAATTCTTTTTCTATCATCCTTATTCATTGTCCAGCTCTGAGATGCATAGCAAGTAATTAGAAAGACTATGGCCTGAATCAGATGCACCTTAGTCCTCAAACGGACATCATTACTCCTCCTTAATTTGGAGAGGTCCCTAACTACAGATTTTCCCAGTGCAATGCATCTCTTTATTTCCTGGATGCTGGCACCAAGAGTATTAATTGTGAATCTAAGCAAGATAAAGCTGTTGACAGTTTCAATCTCCTCTCCACCCTCATGACACTGCCTATTGGCCTAGTGGTAAGAATCTTTGTTTTCTTGCCATTGAGATGCAATCATACCAAAGGCTGCATTGCTTGACCTTCTGCAATGAGTGCTTCAAGTCCCCTCACTTTCAGCTAGCAAGGTTGTGTTAAGGTTGTGTTATCTGTGTAGGTTCTTGATGAATCTCCCTTGAGTCCTGATGCCACACTCCTACTCATAGAGTCCAGCATCTTGGATAATTGCTTAACATACAGATTGAATACGTATGGAGACAGAATACAACCCTGACACACCCTCTTCGCAATTCCAAACCATGCAACTCTCCTCTGCTCTGCTTGCACATCAGCCTCCTCATCCAGGTATAGGTTCTGCATGAGCACAAACAAGTGTTCTGGCTCCAGGAATCAATGGGATACCAATCGATTTGTTTCAAGTGCAGCCTTGGATGCACTCACCAGTCTGTGCTGGAAATTGGGAGTACAGCTGTTCTGGCCAATGGGTTGGAAAAGGTCCATATTTGTTCCCATTTCCAAGAAAGATGATCCAACTGAATGTCAAAACTATCAGACAATATAATTGATATTTAATGCAAGCAAAGTTGCGCTGAAGATCATTCAAAAACAGCTGAAACAGTAAAGAGACAGGGAACGTCCAGAAGTTCAAGCAGTAATTTAGAAGAGGCTGTGGCACCAGGGATATCACTGCTGATGTCAGATGAATTCTGGCTGAAAGTAAGGAATAATAATCAATAATGTCTGTTTGTGCTTTATTGATTATGCAAAGGCATTTGACTGTGTGGATCATAAGAAGTTATGGCCAACACTGAGAACGAAACATTTCATGGCTCAGAATCAGGAAAGGAGCGCATCAGGGATGCATCCTGTCTCCATACCTTTTCTATCTATATGCAGATCATTTGGGATGCTGGGCTTTATGAGAAGGAATTTGGCATCAGATTTAGAGAAAGACATACGAATAGCTTGTGTTATGCAGATAACACAACCTTGCTCACTGAAACCGAGGAGGACCCGAATCATCTGCTACAGAAGGTCAAGGACTGTAGTCTTCAATTTTGGATTGAAACTCAACATCAAGAAAACAAGGATTCTCACCACTGGACCAACTGGCAGCACAAAGATAGATGGGGAAGAGATTGAAATTGTTAACAATTTCAGCTTGCTTGGTCCCACAAACAACATTCTTGGCACTAGCAGTCGGGAAATCAAAAGACTAATTGGGGAAAAAAAAGGGGGGAGCTCTGGTGGCCTAGTGGCAAGAAGGTGCAACTACAATCCCAGAGGTGCACGGTTCGAATCCACCAGATGCTCTGCCGGGGAAGGAGGGGCAATCTCCTCCTGTACCAGTCAGATCTGACTTGACGGTACACGCACACAAAAATAATAAAGTTAAAAAAATAAAAATAAAAGACTAATTGGATTACGAAAGCCTGCTATAAGGGACCCTCAAGAGTGCTGAAGAGCAAAGATGTCAGTCTGGATACTAACGTGCACCTGATCCAGGCCATGGTCTTTACAATTACTTGCTATGCATCAAAGCACAAGACAATGCCTAAGGATGACAGAAGAAGAATTTATGTTTTTACGTGTGGTGATGGGGAAGAGTATTGAACATACCATGGACTGCCAAGAGAACAAATAGATCTGTCATGTCTGTCTCACATAGTTTGGGAATGTTGCCAGGAGGGCCCAGTCATTGGAGAAGGACATCATACTTGGAAGGATGGAGGGATAACGCAGGAGAGGAAGACGCTGGATGAGATGGATTGATTCAGTTACCAGGGCAGGTGTGTCGGAGACACTGAGACTGGCTCAGAATAGGGCAGGGTTCAGAGTTATTGTGCATAGTGTTGCTATGAATCACAGGTGACTCGATGGCACATAAGAACTATGTGTGTGTGTGTGTGTGTGTGTGTGTATCTCCCCACTAATTTGACCCAAGCATGCACTCTAATGTATATCTCCCCTCACTAGGTAGATAGATATCTATCTCACTAGGAGATTCTCCTACTCTACTCCCTGTTAAGCCCTTGCCCTTGTCAGGAAAAAAAGTGCCATCTACTTCATTCCATTCCTAGAAGCATTAGGTGTCACCTTTAGAGTAGTCATAAGAGGAGCAGAGTTAGGCACTGCCCCACACAGGTAGCAACGGCTTTCCCAGGAACTAACAGCCAGCTTACAAGAAATTTCTTGACAATTATTCAGCTTGCAGGACTACATGAATTTCTTTCCAGCCATAGTCTCCCCAAACTTCAAAGGTTTGGATCTTCTTGCTGTAGAAGAAGTTATTTGTGCTTCCTTACAGGTGCAATGCTGTTTTTGTTTTGTTTTTTTTCCAACAGGTCAGGAATGGTGTGTGATGTAATCATCCAACTGTAAGACTGTGTCACACAGCTGCAGGTCATCATCTCAGATTTATGGATCTCCTCCCCATGAGAAAGATGGCAACTCCTACTTGGATTCCTGTTGACCATAACCCTAATCTTCTTATCTTATTTGCCCCATGTTTAATTCAGCTTTCATACAGAGTAAGATATAAACTGTTACTTCCAAAGCAATAACCCAAAGAATGTTTACTTCCACCATCCCCTTCTGGGACCTCATATTCCAGCCTCCCTCTCACAATTCTAGTCTGCAGAAACTGGTATGAGACTTAAATGCCACAGCTTCCTATAATGAAAGAGGCTGGAATGAAAGGTAGGAACACCTGACTTGAGAACCTACTCATTCCCATAACTCCAAACTAGTCTTTACTTGTTAAGTGGCATTGAATAGAGTACAATTCATAGAGACCCTATAAATAATAGCTGTGAGCCCTGCCCTATATTGTGCAATCTTTTTCCGACACAATTGAGCTCATTTCTGCAGTCACTGTGTCAATTTATCTTGTTGAAAGTCTTCCTTTCTTTCATTGACCTTGTATCTTTATAAGCATGATATAACTTTCCAAGGAATAGCCTCTCTTAGCAACAGGCCCAAAGAATGAGAGACAAAATTTCACCATCCTTGCCTCCCAGGAGTACTCTGGTTTAATTTTCTCCAAACATATCTGTTTATTCTTTTGGTAGTCATTTGAACAAGAGGATACTGCATGTTTAAAATTAGCATGTTTAAAATTTGTGTTTCAAAGTTATATCGTTTCATCATACCTATGCAATCTGTATGTTGAGCAAATAATTTGTGAAGTTGGATTGTATCAAAAAAGGATGCAGCTTCAGGAATTAAAGGCTCATTAACAACCTTTGACATGTAGGTGAAGATTACTTGAAGCTTTTATTTGGATGGTATTGAGTGTTGTTGTTAGGTGGCCTGAGGCTTTGCTTTCTTTACTCTATCTTGTGCTAACCTCAATTACCTCCAATACACTGGTTCCTATGGTTACAATCATCATGTCAGTCCATTTTGTTGAGGGAGAGTCTAACTCTGACCCTCCACCTTTCCAAGCATGATGCCCTTTTCCAAGGACTGACTCCTAACAACATGCCCAAACTATGGGGATGAAGTTTCACTATCTTCCCTCTGGTCTTATTACTTTCTCCTCGACAGACTTGTTCTTTTGGCAGTCCACGGGATATTCAGTAGTCTTCTCCAACATATTTCCAAAATACTGAAGAGTAATGATGCCAGTTTAAAGACTAAATACACTTGGTTCTTGATTCTTACTATGCATCTGAAAGTTGGACAATTACTAAGGATGACAGGATAGGAATTGATGCCTTTGAGTTGTGGTATTGAAAGCAGTAAAAGCCTTCAGTCTTAGATTACCTCTCAACATTAAGAAGACAAAAATTGAGCCAATAAATAAAATCACGATAAATGGAGATATGTTTCAAGTTGTCAAGCATTTATTTGAATTAAAAATCAACACTTATGGAAGGAGCAGTCAAGAAAACAAAAGGCATTTTTCGTTGAGCAAATATGCTGGCAAGGACATCTTTAATGTCTTAAAGAGCAAGAACGTCAGTTTAAAGACCAAGGTGTGCCTTGTTCAAGCCATGACATTTTCAGTTGTTTCATATCCACTTAATAGTTGGATAATGAGTAAGGAAGATTTATAGCTGTTTAGACGTAAGAGTGGTGAGACTTCATCTCACATAGTTTGGGTATGTTATCAGAAGAGGTCGGTGCAGTCCTTGCAGGACAGTATGCTTGGTAAAAGGAGCCGGTCTGTGAAAGATGGATTGACACAGTGGCTCCAACAATGGTCTTAAACAAAGGTGAGTTTGTGCAGTTGGAGCAGATTGGGCAGCTTCTTTGTTGCACATGGCGTCGTCTAAGGCACTTAACCTTAGTAACAACTTTCGTTTGCTAACTGATCTGCGTGGCCAAAAAGTCATTCCTTCTTCACACACATCAAGAGGCCGCTAGGTTTCCCAGCACAACCGAAAACAAAGACTGGAAAGATACAGATCTTGTGGCTTGACAGCGGCAGAAGAATTTGTTGAATTTTAGGGGCGGGAAGTAGATAAAGCATCCCGTGGACTGCGGGCGAGAACAATAGCCCTGCCCCAGGGATCCTGGCACACGAACACGCAACCGCCAGAGACACGCTAGGTTGCCGAGACGACGCTTCCGGCTGGTGCGTGCAGCCCCGGGGAGCAGGGGAGTTGTGGACGGGTGGCTAGACCTGCCCGACGCTGCGAATTCGCCGGCGGGAGCGCGCTCACGGCCCTACGTTCTCCGCTTTCCCGGCTTCGTCGCTGACGCGCCGTAGACGTTGGGGAGCGGGAAGGCAGCGACAAGCGGGATCAGGATGAACAGCGGCGGCTTTGGTTTGGGCTTGGGATTCGGCCTCACCCCTACAGCGGTGATTCAGGTGACGAATCTGTCGTCGGCGGTGACCAGCGAGCAGATGCGGACGCTCTTTTCCTTCCTAGGAGAAATCGAGGAGCTGCGACTCTACCCCCCGGAGTAAGTGCCCGAGCTTGGCTGGGGGAGGGGCGCAGGCGCCATAGAGACCTCCAGAGCCGAGGCTGGGAGGAGAGCGCGGGCGCGCGGGGCCCGGCACGTGACCGCCCGGGTTTACCTTCCTACCATATTTGATTCGGGCACAGTGACCTCACGCCCTGCGATCCTGCTCCCCGCGTTACTCGAATTTGGGGGCTAAGTTGTGCACGGAGCCCTTAAAAGGGATTTAGAGAGTATTCCTTTTTGGTGTCTCTTGGAGTTGGCCTAGTCGTTGCTCCGCTATCTGGTTCAATGCTCTATTTTTCTTTCCCGAACTTAAGATGGCCGCAGTTGGGCCCTCATGGCGAAGGCTTGGAAGCGTCTATGCCGTGTGAAAATACCGAGGACTGTGATATATCCAGTTCTCGGGGCGTTAGTGTCAGGCCGTTATCGCCGACTAGAAAGCTTGCCATTGATGTAAAAGTAAATTAGGACCTTAGGAGACTTTTAGAAAATGAGCCTTTTGTTGGTTTATCCAAGTCTTTCCATCTGTGTTTTTAAAGATCGTGTCTAGTTGCCCTTTTGACAACAGATTACGGTTTGCTCCTGTAAGATCACGGTGCCTTAAACATTTCAAAAAAAGTATTAGTTGGCTCACCGTTATCCTTGCTGTATACTTTTAAAAGTCCAGATTTCGGCTTGCCTCCAGGTCACTTAGCAGATAGTGAATTTGGATTCGCCTTAGGACAAAACCTAAAAAGGAGTTACTGGGTTGTTTTTTTTTTTTTTTTAATGTGCATAAAATTGTCCTTTTTTTGTTGTAGAATATAGAATTTCAAAATCTTATTTTTGTTGTTGTTAAGATCTGCCACTGGACGAGTAAGAGTTGTGAAAGAGTTTTCATTATTGTTTTTACTTGTTTTTAAAAGTTTACTTTCGATTTGGTTTTATTTCCTAGTGAACCACTTTTATCTAGACCTAGTTTCCTTTAATCCTGTATCTGTAAGTATAAAATAGTACTGTGTTACTAACTAGAAGGTTAGAGGTTGGAACCCTTTAGCCACTCCTTAGGAGAAAGACGTGGTTGTTTACTTCCTTAAAGGTTTCTTTCTAGCCTTGGAAACACTATGGAGCTATTCTAGTCAGTTCTATAAAGTGGTTAAGAGTCGCAGTACATTTAAGAGCAGACGCTTTTTCGCTTTCATACCATATAATTTTTAAATAACTTTTCTTCTCTCATTTTTATTTGTAATTATTTCCAAGGTATAAAAATGGAAATAAAACATTGTTCATATTTTTTCCGACATCCATTAGTTTTTTTAAACACAGTTACTTACTTTCTTTTTTTGTGTCCACTCACTCCCATATTTTTGCCCCTCTCCTATCTTTTTGATGTTTATTGTTGTGTGCCTTCTTATTGGAACCGACTCATAGTTGACTTCTAGCAGGCTTTCAGAAGCCGTTATGGAGTTGTACTGCCACACCATAGAAACAAGGTTCGAATCCACCAACTACCCCATAGGAGAAAGATGAGCAGTATCCTCCTATGTGATTTACTGCCTCGGAAAACGCACTGAAGGGTCAGCTATGAGTTGGTTCTGACTTGATGGCATATAACAACTTAGTTTTGAAAGTAGTAGAGGACATTATGACTGTTCATCCTCAGATGCTTAAGCAGATAATTCCTAAGAAAAAGAAGTCTCTTCATAACCATAGTAGTGGTATCATATCCAAGAAATGGAATGTTTCTTGGGAAAAAAATAAATTGTTTATAGTTTCCCAGTTATTCTTTTGTTATGGGCTAACCAGTTGGATCCAGCTTCTAGTGACCTGTGTACAACAGAACCAAACCTTGCCCCCTCCACACACACATAATATATGTATATGTGAGTGGTGGACTAATTTTAAGAATGAAGCTTATTACTTGGAATTTAAAACTTTAAAATAAATATGTTTATGCACCCTATGCACAACAGAACACACGCAGATTAACAAAAAGGGCAACCTAGGTAGAACCATCAAGTATGGAAACAAAAGGGAGGAGGAACAGCTGTAAGCAGACCCTAGTGATTGGTACATGGAATGTGAGA